CAAAGTCGATTGTTACTTTATATAATTCTGAAACAAATTCAAATAGATCTTAATTAGACTGACTAAAGCTCTAACTTAATTTGCTACCTGTAAATCATACTAATTAAAGTTAAAATGTAGAATAAATACTGCAAATGTTTATTCCTGTTTAAAACAAAAGAAATTGGGTTTCCTTACAGAACTTTAGGTCTTCACATTTTAAGTCAATAAACGTTTTATTACAGTTCACCATGATACATTTATAGAAGAAGGCAGAAAATAATATTACCCATGTTAAAATTTTTAATGACCTTATTTCAGAATCTACTTTGAACTTGACAAGAAATATTACTTAAAGTTTCCTTTCCTTAAATAGATATACAATTTACTTAAACTTTATTTTATATAAGGTGTCTGATTTAACTGAGCAAGTTTATTTTACATTGTTCTCAAACTCATTGCAATTCATGTATTATTGTGTTTCATTGAACTATGAATATATTTGGATGACTGTAATCTAATCTTTTGTAAACTTAGTTATTTTCCAGTAATAATTTCAATTGACTTGGTACGCGTGTGTATTTTCATTAAGAATCACATTTTTACAAAGCATAATTTTTAAGACAAAGTATTTAGAAATATCACTAAAGTAAAACTGAAAAAGTCCTAAAAGCCCCCACCCTCTCTTTATAGTCATTGGCTAAGTGGAAGCCTGCTGCAATTTATTTCATCAAGTGATAAAATATATTTTTGTTTCTACAGAAATTTAATAGACAAAATTTTTTATTTGATTTACAAAAATGTTTTTTTTTAATATTTTCAGTGTTCACTAATCATAGCAGTCATACTCCCAAACAATACATGGTATTCAAACTCCAAATTGACAATGTCTAAATGTTAATCCACATTAAAGATGTTACAAACTGTTATTATTATGATAAAATACCTCAAAATACTGCTAACTATACACAGAATTAGTGATTTGAGCCTAAAAACCTAATTTCATGTTCAACATGCAAGAAAGGTTTTTAATATCACCAAGAACATTTCCAGACATTTTCACAAAACAAAATAAAAACCATTGTATTATTAAAATGGGTGCTGTGAAATAGATTTGATAATAATAAAAAAAAGTAATTGTTTAACTTCTCATGCACATACATGATCTTAAGTGACATAAAAGATACTATAGTTGGACATTATATGCCATGTATTATTTATTTATACTTCCAGCTTTAACATTACATGTTGAATATCAATGTAAACGAAGATATAGATATCCAATAATTAATTTTTATTAATTTGTTCCATAGTTTATTTTTTTGTCATATTTATTGGTGAAGTTAAGGAACACTGATTGGCCAAAATATTTATACAGTTTAAAAACAGAGAAGGTTGAAGGAAAAAAAAAAACAGGTACACGTTTCACACAATTAAACGAGGTTGAGAATCTGATTATAGCTATTCTCAAATAGGTTTATCAAGATTAATTGGTAAATAACTTTAAATGTGTTGGAAGTTTGGGTAATATAAATACTAAACTTGAGGTAACTGTTAACCTGATTTTATAATTATTTATTGAATTCGCAGTCCATTATTATTTCAGATCATAATAGTCCAGTTTGGAGGATTTGCTTTTTCTACTGCTGGTCTTACTTTAGATCAGTGGTTTTGGTGTGTGTTTTTTGGCTGTGGGACCTTATTATGGGGACAGTTAGTCACAACAGTTCCCACCAAAAAGATCCCGAAAACCTTTACATGGGGTTCAGGAACACCTGATGAGCTTGAAAATGATGTTCTTCGTGGTGAAGAGAGTTCCAGGGATTCCATCTCTCAAGACGTCAAGCGAACAGGACAGATACTCTGGATTCGTGGCCTTACTCGACTACAGACTCAGGTAAGTGCACATTTATTTCAGTTTTTAATGTAGATTCCAAATCTTAACAGATTTCTTTGATAAAATAGTCACGGGAAATTGGATTTACGATGAGCTAACCGTAAGATGAAGTGTAGCATTAAACATATTTCAGTAATAATTCATTATAATAATATTCACTTTGTGTTATGGTGTTTTTTGTGATAATTTAAATGTGAACAAACATTTATTGTAGATAATTTTGCATAACAAAAATCGTAAGTTCCACATTTTGTAATATATTTATTAGCACAATTGTGTATTCAAATCTTTAGAAAATATAGTATAAAGATCTATTTGAGATCTAAACAATAAATAGAATTCTGTGTTAAACCTGGCAGTGTTGGATGAAGGTCTTTACCTTCTTTCTATAAATTAATTTCCAAAGATATGAACATCCAGAAGTTTGTTGAAAAATAGGTCATCTGCTGTTTTAGTTACTAGGATGGATGTTCGTTGTTTACTCATATGTTTTAATGTACAGTGCTAAAATATTAGATGTACCAGTCTAGTTGGCAAACCCGTAATTGTTGTGGACCAAGCACGTGTTTATAAATCACTTTACGACAAAGTCATTAGTGTTCAAGAAACACTGTGCCTGATCATTCTGTCTCTCGTCGTTGGATCCTTCAGGAAGTCATGGTGGTTTTGGATCGTTTCAGTATTTCTACTAGCAAGCCACTCATTTTGCAAAGTACATTATTGTTTTCCATTGTCCCTCAAAATTGTAGTTACCAAAAAAAAACCATCTCAACCTACCCGGTTTTCTGAGCACTGTATTTCACAGCTGTCTGTTAATGCTGCTTGGAGAATTTTATTTCGTTTTGTAATGAATATCAACTAGTAAATCAAACAGAAAGCATAATAAATACTTGAACCATGAAAAGTTGTAGGATTAAGAGATCATAAAAAGGTATTCATACTCCTGCATGCTTGCTTTACTGGTATAATTGTATTATGAAACAAACTGTTTTTTATAAGTTGTATATGTATTAAGTAATTCATTGCATTTGAGGGATAAAGTATCCTGTTACACTTTTTTATGTTAAAATCTCCCAGTGTTTTGTTTTATCCTCATTTGTGAACTAAACAAAATCCAGACTTATAACTTGTGGACAAAGGTTGGTCAAACCTGACTTGGCATTTTATTTTTTTTATTGAAACCCATGTATTTTTAGTGTAACATTTTATCTTTTGTAATTGTATACTTATACCCAAGTTGAGTGAATAGCTCACTAGTCTTCCAAACAAGACGTAGAATTGATTCGAAACACAAACACCACACACGCACAGTTCTTTTTTAGGGCTTCCCCGAAGACAGCAGCAAGGTAGCAGCTGTAACATATCATATAAGCTCATTAGTAAATAGTATTTAAAACATAAAGAACTAATGATTAGACATATAGACCAATGTTTTGTGACCTTTTTGATACCAGTGACTGGCTCACTTCCTCTCTAACTTCTCGTGTGATGTTAAATGTAAGTACAATGAAAAAACCATTATGATTTACCTATGAATATTCAGTCAGATTTTGTTTTGGTTTAATCCCAAGGACTGACACTGCTTCATGGACCAGTGGTTGAGAAACACTAGTATAGGCAACTAATCATGTCAATAATTATCGTAAATACATAAATTTATTAGTTTTGTTTTTTAATTTGCACAAACCATTCAAGTAGTTTTAATTTACTTTTCACCTTTTGATAGATTATGAAATAGAAAATGTGTTTAAAAGGTTACAGTAATACTCAGCGCTGTGCCCAGGTTAGCAGACAATAGTCATGATTTATCAGAAAGGAGAAATTCTTCACAAATAAAATGTGTGTACTAGTAAAACATCACATTTTTCTTTGTTCTTATAAAACACATGTATTATTTATCCTTTATGATTTAATGAAATATATTCAATAAACATTTTATCCCCTCTTCCCACAGATTTGATGATCAGTAATTTAGAAGAGTACTATAGACTCAACTCATTAATAGGTGCACACCAAAAGCATTAATTTAAAACACAAACAATCTTATTTCCAATTAATGTTTTTATCTACTTCAATGAACATTGGAATTCATATATGTTTTATGTATCACTTACAGGACAATAACTTGACAATAAACTGTAAGACATTCCTAGGTCAGTATATGACTTTACTTAGTTGTCAGTAGGATGAAACATTACAGTGGATATTTCAAGTATTAGACAAATGATGGATTTGCTTAAATTGGTAGCTTCTTGCTAACATATTCATGTTGTGAAAGAAAGTCCATAAGAACAAAGTTTAAAGTATGTTCATTTGAGTTACTCCAGCTGTGGATTTGTGCAAGCAAAGTGTGTTTTATGGTTTACCTTTTTTTTAATACCTTGTGTTTTAAGTGATGTAAAAGTGTTATTGATACCCTATAATTGAATTATGTAATTGTTGTTAATTGTGTTGAATAGTCTATGGTTAAAGTGATGTAAAAGTGTTGTCAGTACCCTTTGGTTGAATTATGTAATTGTTGTTATTTGTGTTGAATAGTCCATGGTTAAAGTGATGTAAAAGTGTTGTCAGTACCCTTTGGTTGAATTATGTAATTGTTGTTATTTGTGTTGAATAGTCCATGGTTAAAGTGATGTAAAAGTGTTGTCAGTACCCTTTGGTTGAATTATGTAATT